AGGATGATCTGGGCTATATATCAAGACCCTATTTCAAAATCCCATCTGAAAAGTGTCATAATATAACATGTTATTATTTTAAATTAACTGCAGATAAAATAAGGAATATTTCCTTTTGTCTTGAAAGTAAGTTCTGACTGAAGAGTTTTGGCTGCTTGTTCTTGTATCTGTGGGGCACGACTATTCATTTTGGTCTTGATCTTGCACAGTAATGGATAGCTGAACTCTCAGACCATGAGAGGGGTCCAGGGTACACGTTATGAGAGGTCATGGTGACAAACATGGTTGTTTCATTGATGGCATCCATTATGGCTTTGGGACATCCACTGACTACTGTTGCCAGAATAGTTTTTCAAAAATATTGATTTTTTTTTTTGCTGTCCGAAAATCTTTTTACTTCATCTTTGCTTGCTTGCTTACTAGAGATGGCAAAAGGGCCGTTTTGTTTCCAAATGTTTTATATGGATAATGAGACTTTTCTATAAATGATGCCAGCTTCTTTCTCCAAGGAATGATATCAACGAGTTCAATTGGACATTATTTAAAACAGGAAATATTGCAAATGAAGAAATAGATCATAACGTCTTCTAAATGTTTGTAACATTCGATCAAAAGTAGAATAAATAAAATCAATTTTTATTATGTCTGTTGTCATTAAACTATTTCTATTCACTGGAAAAAATATTGATTTTATTTATTTATTTATTTTATTCTTCACTGATACAATCCAAACCATCTACCTTTCCAGACAGGACCTCCCTTCCCTGACTGACAACTACCTTGTGGCTTGATACTTATTTCACAAACCCTGGCTCCAGCCACTCTACCAGCTCATAGATATTGTTTCTCCTTCCTTTCATGGCTCAACTTTCATGTTGAAACCCAGTGGAAATGCCATTCGGCTGCTTCAGGTTGAGACATCGCTATCAGACTCCGCACACCGAGGCTCGAGGATCGTGTTGAACACAGGTTAGCAGAAAGGTTGTAGGAGCCATAGGTGGCAAACAGCAAGAAAACACTGTTTACAGGACACAGTAGGTCAGCACCACAGAGGAACTCATAGTGGCTGTGACAGCATGCTCAACTCATGCAGGCTTAACTCATGCAAGCTCAAGCCAGAGCGAATAAAGAGGTGAGCACAAGGTCCCACCCATAGTTGAGGAGCTATTGGCAAATGCTAGCTTCTGGGAGAGGAAGAGTTGATTTTCTTTAAGAGTGTCATCCATGATAGGTTGAATACATTCCAATGGAAGGCCACATACACAAGGATATATGGGCAGCCTAATCTGGACTTAGCTTTAAAAGCAAACAATAAAAAGAGAGGACACAAAGTTGGGTGAACTGGAAAGTGGAGGTAGGTCTGAGTGGAGTTGGGAGAGTGCATGAATAGGATCATAAGACCCTGTGTGAAATCCTCAAAGAAACACACACACACACACACACACACACACACACACACACACAAGCTCATATGTGATTTTCTTTTGTAGTTCTATTAGTCATTTTTGGACAGTCTCTTAAGATATAGTATGTGTTTCCTGTAGTTTTGTGCTACCCACCTTTAGCTCTGGGAGGTGACAGAGCTACCAGCCCCCACCCAGCTTCCCTTGAATCCGTGGATAAAACACACACACACACACAGTTGTTCCTTTTAAACTTGCCTTCTTGGCACAACTACTGGATGCTATTATCTCCCACCTGGAAAATCATGCCCTTATCAGTTTCTTATCTCTGTCTCTCCCACCTGCCCTAAACTTCAGTTACTAAACTCCTCTGGCCACCTGTCTGTAGGAGTGGCCTGTCTGGCCACTCCGTTTTGAGATCTCACATGGTTGCTCGGTTCTCATCTCTACAAAGCATGATTAAACTAGTTCTCCTTCCTTGTGTCTCCCTGCCTCCCCCTCCAGGGACCTGGAAGTCTTGACTGTCCCTTCCACCCAGCAATTGGCCCATGGCTTCCTTTATTGACAGGTCAAGAACCAATTGGAGAATGGGACCTTAGCATCAGAACCGCCCCCACAAGTATGTCTTGTCTATGGTCCTTAGCATATAGGAGGCCATTAGTAAATGTTTGCTAAAGATAAATCCATTTACTTTAATAGTGATTTTTGTTTTGATAAATAATTCTTTACAAAAATTGCTACTGGGGACAAGGAAAATTAGTGGGGGATGAAGAATCCTGGCCTTGTGGTCAAATTTCCATGTAATTAATTTAGATGTACATTTGGGTGTAACATTCTTATTGACTAGCTTATTGACTGTATTTTTTTCTAGGAATATAATCTCTTTGGGCATTACTTGTCTTCATTAAAAAATGAGAGAAAATAATATCTGTGTTTTCTACTGTGTGGCTGACAAACAGTAAACAATAAAATGTATCTTACTTTATAAAAGTTAATACTGTCAAATGGTGCATCTTGGCCCCCAGTGACTGTAATAACTAAGAAAATGTTATATATGACTAGGTGCAGTTTTGACCAAGACATATAGCTATTATGTTGACCAAGATATTAACATTTTCCATCACATTGGAATGTTATTTTGTGCCCCCTTTCTCTTGGCTTCAAAGGTAGATATTATAGTGATTTCAATGACCACGAATTACTGTTTAGTATTCTTGAATTTTATGAATGAAGTCACATAAAGTACATAATTTTACATCTGATTTCCTTCAGTTATTATTATTACTGTTCTCTGGTGTTACATTATCAATATTTGGTCATTTTGATGAATTTTAAAGAAATCTCTTCTGTGGATGAAGGTTGTAAATAAAACTTTTATTATATTCATGTGTAAATATTTTTTGTAGATGTATTTTTTCTCTTCTCTTGGGTCAATAGCAAGAGGAAGATTATTGAGCTGTGAGTAGGTATATATTTCTATATTTCTTTTTGTACGAAAGATCAGAGACTAGAGAGATCAGCTCAGCAGTGAAGAGTAATTCCTGCCTTTGCTCTTTTGCTATAGTTATGAGAAGGTAATATAACTCTTTTGAGGGGGAAAGTCCAGAAATTTCTTTTTTGAGATTTCTTTTATTTATTTTTAAAATGTTTTTAATTATGTAAACTGTATCTGTGTGTGGCTATGCGTGCATGACTGTAGATGCCTGTAGATGTCGGTCAGAGACACTGAAACTACAGTAAGCCTCACATGAGTGCTGGGAACCAAAATGTACATTGCAATAAATGAGCTATTTTAAGTTATGAGCTAGTCAGAGGAGAGCCTAGATGTATGGCCAAGGTATTTGTAAGTATATTTGAGCCTGAGTCTTGTTTCTGAGAGCATCGGGCTGGCAGGAAGAACCAGACCTAACTTCTATAAAGGACCCCACTTCCACCTATTAGGCCAATCTTTCTACCGCCTCCCCACAATGCTGTCAACTGGGGACCAAACCTTCAACACACAAATTTGGGGGGACACGTAATAGTCAGACCATAATGGGATCTCATAACCCATGCCATCATCAATAACGGATGAGCTGACAGGTCAATCCGAATCTTCTCCAGTTGGTCCTGTCAAAAGTTACAATTTCAGACACTCTGCCCTTTGTAGATGTTGAAGTTTGATTTACATCTCCCTAGTGATTAACTACATGGAACAATTTTTCATGTATTTTTCTTCAGCTGTTGATCTACTGATGGTTATCTAGGAAGGTTCCATCTCCTGGGTACGATGACTAGCTCAGCAGTAAACATGGGTTTGAGTAGACAATTCGGGGACATCTAGCTTTACCTATCTACTGCAGTCTTCCATACGGGGTGTCATTTTTCTGGTGTGGTGATGCAATACACTGACAAAAAGCAAATTTGAGGAGAAAGGGTTTCTCATTTTTCTTTGGCTCACAGTTCCAGAGGGATATAATCCATAATAGGGAAGATACGGGAGCCTGGCAGTCAGGAAGGAGAGAGAGAGAGGGAGAGAGAGAGAGAGAGATACACACACACACACACACACGGGGGGGGGAGGGAGGGAGTGAGGGAGAGAGGGAGAGAGAGAGAGAGGGAGAGAGAAACAGAGAGAGGGAGACACAGAGAGAGAGAAAAACAGAGACAGACAGAGACAGGGACAGAGAGACAGACAGAGAGAGACAGAGAAGCAGAGACAGAGAAACAGAGAGACAGAGACAGAAAGAGATAGACAGAGAGACCCAGAGAAATAGAGATGGAGAGAGGTAGAGACAAAGAGAGACAGAGAGACACAAAGAGACACAGAGAGATAGGGACAGAGAGATGGAGAGAAAGAGAAAGAGAGAGAGAGAGAGAGAGAGAGAGAGAGAGAGAGAGAGAGAGAGAGAGAAGTGGGGCCAGCCAGGCTATAAAACAAAGGCAAAAGGCAGCCCACAGTGATGTACTTTCTTTACATCCTAAAGGTTCTATAGTCTTCTCAATCAGTGACCCCAAGTGGGAACCAGTTCTCGGAAAACATTTCTTATTCACATCAGCATGTCAGGTGTCCTTGTTGGTGTTTTAAAAAATCAATTTGACACAAGCTAGAGGTATCTGAGATGAAAGGATCTTAATTGAGAAAATGCCTCCATAAGCCTGGCTGGTAGGCAAGTCAGTAAGGTACTGTTTTGAATAATGATTGATGTGGGAGAGCCCAGCCGTGGTGGGTGGGGCCACCCCTGGGAGGTTGGTCCTGAACTGTAGAAGAAAGCAGGCTGAGCAAGCCATGAAGAGTAAGCCAATAAACAGCCTTCTTCCACGGCTTCGGTTCTGCCTCCAGGTTCCTGCCCAGATCTCTTTGATCATGGACTATGATATAGTAGTGCAAGCCAAATAAGTCCTTTCCTCCCCAAGTTGCTTTTGGTCATGGTGTTTTATCACAGCAGTAGAAACCCCAACTATGACACCAGACCATGAGGTTTCCCTAGAATAGCAAGAGCAACAAAACCAGTAAGTCTTGCTTTACTGCCACGATTTCCACGGCTCTCAGCTTTTCTTAAAAAAACATCAGGAGTTAAGAAACATTTAACAAAGTCATAGAAATAAATAAAAATTATAGACATTTCTGCTATGCCATAGACACAAGATTTATTAGGAAGATCATGAGGAAATTCCTTGATTTGCAGAGAGATACCACCCAAGACTGAAAACAGAAGCCCCAAACACCCAAAGAAAGGAACAGATTAGGATGAAGGAGTCAACATCTTCAGATGTCTTGAAGCATCCACAGTCTGAACCACACATAGTAAACGTAGCATTACCAGACTCTGGTTTCTTTTTGTTGAGGCAGAAGAGGTTGTTGTCATGACAATGTCACTCAATTCCAACTTCTAAATCAGAATAAACTAATTGCAGGTTTTGTCGGGTAAGCATAGAGCTCCCAGGTTGACTCTTTCGAAGACTGGTGCCCAGCAAGGGAGGCACAGGTCAGCAGCACCTTGGGACGCAGGGGTCCTCACAG